TATTTACTTTAGTGCCAAAGCCGGTTTGGCTCAGTGGTAGAGCGTCGGTCTGCGGACTGGAAGGTCCCAGATTCGATTCTGGTCAGGGGCATGTACATTGGTTGCGGGCACATCCCCAATAGGGGGTGTGCAGGAGGCAGCTAGTCAATGTTTCTCTCTCGACATTTCTAGCTCTCTATCTCTCTCCCTTCCTCTCTGTAAAAAATCAATAAATTTTTTAAAGAAATATTTACTTTATAGAATAGTAAGTGAAAGATATGTGTAGTATATAATCTATTTTAGTTTAAAAGATTATACACCTGCATAGAAAAAAGACCAAAAGGCTTTTTTACTAATACTGTGTATTATTTCTAGGTGGTTAATTTTTAGGTTACCTAATTTTTTCCCTCCTCTCTTCTCTTCTCTTCTCTTCTCTTCTCTTCTCTTCTCTTCTCTTCTCTTTTCTCTCTCTCTCTCTCTCTCTCTCTCTCTCTCTCTCTCTCTCTCTCTCTCTCTCTCTCTCTCGTTTACTCTAGAATAAGGAAAAATTTTTTTTTTTTTTTTTTTTTTTTTAGGTAAAAGAAGTACTACAAAACTCAAGGTGACAAATATATGGCTAGAGGTCTGCAATGGGGAGCGAGAGAGGAGGCTGAAGGGGCCTGTCCTGACTGAGGGCTGAATGTCAGCAGAGGCTTCTTTGAGGAGAAGAAACTGAGCAGAGGCATTACCTCAACCACAGCTTGTAATATTATGAAGGAAAAAAAAAAGATGACAAGCAGGTGCAGGTGCAGCGCTGGTATTTGTGAGGCAATTGGTCCCATTACTTAATGCATCCACAGCCTTTACCCAGTCCCGAAAGAATTCAAAACATTTCTAAAATATATGTAATGGATTTTCCCTTCTCTTTGCAATTCCCCATCATCCATTTATTTACTTTTTCTAACAAGTATGGTGGAAATTCTTTCACAATATTGTATAAAGACATCTTTCCTTTTTGGAGCAGCTGTGACTACATTCAAGCTTTGCCCTTGACAGATTTCATGTATCCTAACCCCGAGTTCCAGAGTCCAGTGCGCAGCAGGCGTTCACATGCCAGCAAAAGGCATTTAGCTGTGAGCCTCTACTCTCAAGTCTTTTTGTTTTATTAGGACCTTTTTCTCTTGGTCAGATATATTAATACGTGACTTCATAGTGCAAAATTTCCAACATTAAAAAAAAATGGATTTCCTTTTCCAAGGGGAGAACCCGAAAAATACATAAATTGTCTATTTTCCACCTCTGAAACCATTTTCACGCTGCCATATCAGGGCAGCTGGGCCTGAAAGAATACACTGTTCTCACACCCAGAGCTGAGGAGGCAGGCAGGGTCCTCAAAGGGCTGCCGTCCCTCGGAAGCAGTAACATCCAATGTCACCTTTTCTTTCTGAAGCTAGAGCAGCAGCCCTTTGAAAGATAGCCCTGGGTAAGGAGCCCATCTCGGCTCATTTTAAACGGTATGATTTTCCAGTGCCTGAAACAGTCTCATGCTTAGAGCTAAACCTCTGCTGAACTATTAAATGAACAAATGGACACGGAAGAAGAATGAACAAAATAAACTAACCATTGTTTTTGTGTAATGACATGAAATACTAACTTCTCTGTGGCTTGAGACTCACGAATTAAGGAACAATCAGGAAAATAAATCTGTTGTTTACACATTCAGACCAAGCTCAAAAGCTGCTGAGGACAGGTAGGCGATGCAATTAAGTGGTAGCAGTCTAGGGCTAAGTGCGAGTGTACACATTACCGAGTGGAGAGGATGTCAAACGGGAGCATGCTCCACGACAAGGGGGTGAGGCTGACTCAGCGCCAGCCATCGATGCCATATGCCGCACATGTGTCAAACACAAGGCCCGCGGGCCAAATCCGTCCCGCCAGGCCTTGCAATGTGGCCCGCACCGCGCTGTCATCACTGCACTCCGCTGCATTTCCATCACAATGACAGTTTATGACTGTTCAGTAAACCATTCGGCCCGCGATTTAGGCTGGATTTTAGATTTTGGCCCCTTCTCTGATTGAGTTCGACACCCCTACCATATGGGAATGCAGGCCCAATTTTGCCAGTTCTTCCAGTATTTTAAGAGAAGCTTGAAGTCTAGATTTTTATTATTAAGTCTAGATTTTTATTTTTATATTCACATTAGAAATGTTGGCTCAAAATTTAAAGACAGAGAGACAATGTCTGTGTTTTACATGCGTGCCTCGCCATAGTCACTGATTTGAAACTTCTCATTTCAACTTTTCTTTTTTTTTTTTTTTTTTTAGGATATTATAGTTTATTAATTAACTTATTAACACACTTTTGTAATACTTTCACCCACATTTTTAGCTACACACCCTTTAGTGGCTTCTTTACATAACAACTTGATATTCTGTAATATTTTCTACATATGAAATTAAAAGATAATTGTCTTCCATCAGGGAAAAGTAATCAAAATTTAAAAACGATAGTATTGAAAGCTTCTGTCATCTTCACTCTTTATTAACAGTAACATCACATAAAACTTTATCATGTACAATTTGGGAATACCTCTATAAAGCTTCTTATATATGAACTTTAAGATTTCAGGTCATGTTAAATTTCCTTGTGCAGTAATATGTATATAACTACATTATATATAAGTATATATGGTTATAGAGAAAATTTATTCTTATGGAGCATTTGGATTTTTTCTGTTCTGTTTATTTTTGTTTTCTATATTACACATATAAGTAAAATCATAAGGTATATGTCTTTCTTTGACTTATTACACTCAGCACAATAGCCTCTAGGTCTATCCATGCTGTGGCAGATGGCAAAATTGCATCCTTTTTTATGGCTGAATCATATCCCATTGTATAGATGTACCACTTTTTCTTTATCCACTTATCTATTGGTGACCACTTAGGTCATTTACACACCTTGGCTATTGTAAAAAACTCAATGAACATATGAGTATATATATATATATATATATATATATGTATATATATATGTATATATCTTTTCAATTAGTGTTTTTTGTTTCTTCGGATAAATACCCAAAGTGGAATTGCTGGATCCTTGTCTCTTGTTATAGATTTTGTTTTAAAGTCTACTTTGTCTTGTAGAAATATTGCTATCCCATCTTTTTTGTTTGTTTGTATGTTTCCATTTTTATGAAATATCTTTCCCCATCTTTTTATTATTAGTCTGTGTGTCTTTCAATCCAAAGTGAGTCTCCTGTTGACAGTACAGTATATGCAAGGATCTTGTTTTGCTAGCCATTCAGCCTCCATGTGTCTTTTGACTGGAGTATTTAATCCCATTTGCATTTAAAGTAATTGTTGGTAGATACTGGTATGTATTTATTGCCAGTTTACCATTCATTTTTTATCTTTTTAAAATTTCTTCTTAAAGAAGACACTTTAATATTTCTTGTGGTGATGAATTCCTTCAGCTTTTTCTTGCCTGGGAAGCTATCTGTCCTTCAATTCTAAATGATAGCTTTGCTAGGTAGAGTATCTACTTTTCTATGTCTAAGAATGTTTGTGCTTAGCACTTGTGTAAGTGTACTTGTGTTTTGTATGAGTTGTGTGTTGTTTACCCTCCTCTCCTTTCCCCTATGTCCTCCCCACTGCCTAGTAATTACCTCATGAAAACTGAGAAGAACAAGGAGATAAGTCACACTTATGTGGGGAATTTTTAAGCACTTGGTGAGCTACTGGAAAGTATCAGAGGATGTATATTTAGGGAAAAGAGTGATCAATGGGCTATGTCAAGCACATATGGGTATTCCTGAATTGGCAAATATTTTTCTCCAAGATTAAGCTATCTGTGTTTGCTAATGGACTCCCATATCAAAGTTAGGCTTTTATATTCCTGAAGAGACTGGGAGATACCAGTGTAATCTCCCTTGGTGATTACATTTCAAAGCAAGGCTCCCAGGTACTCAAAAAAGACTGTCCTGGGTTGCAACACTGGCAAAAAAGCTTTTTAAGAGATTTTCATCTCAAAGGGAACAGAAAAAGAATGTACAACTGTAAGTTTTCTAAAGTAAATAAATGCTCTAAGAAAAAGGAGGTTAGAGGCCAACACTCAAAGAGAAGCCTTTCTAAAGCTTAGTCAAGCTGGAGGTAAGACCATCCAGGTCATAAGAGCGATGGTAGATGTTATTCAGCAAGTTGCACATCATTGGATCATTAAAAATGTAAATTCTAGATGTTTCAGACTTACTTTAGAGCCCTCCTCTCTTTTCCTCTATGTCCTCCCCACTGCCTAGTAACCATGAAACTGAGAAATCTACCAACAGACGTTTATCAGAGTGCAACCTGGGTCTTTTCATTTCTAAAAGGGCATCATAAATACGTGCTCCACAGCATTGGTGCAAGGACTAAGTCTGATATGTGTGAAGCACTCAACATGGTGCCTTGCATATAGTACCAACTCAATAAATGGTAACTATCAATATTTCAGCCAGTTCTCATTTGTGCTGTTGTAGTATCTTTCAATGAGCATACTACGATACTAATAGTAATAAAACACACAGAAAATAAGTTAAAAGAATTATGACTTATATCGATCAAAATAGAGCAGAAGAAACTATCAGTGACGCAGCACCTACTGCCAAAGTTCCGTGTCCTACCCTCCACCCTAATTTTCTGCCCAAATTTCTTTAACCCGTTTTTTCATAGTTAAACACTTCCCCACATAGATCTCAAATCTGCATGCTATACAGCCCAAGGACAGAATGCGATCTTTAAAATTACACTCTGTGTTGCATTTTCTTTCTTACACTCACATCTGGAGCATGTTTGTTTACTCTTTGAAAGCCCATGCGGGAGCCAATTGACTTTTCAGAAAGTTCCCTGCAAATTCTCCCTCAAAAAAAAAAAAAAAAAAAAAAAAAAAGTGTTCCTTTGTTTGTAGCTTGGTAGCAATTTTTAAAATTTTTCAAGGTTTGGCCTCTGCTAAGAGTATCTACCAGGAGTGGTCTGTTTCATCATCCAATGAGCTCTGCCTGCTTGTGGATGTGACACCCCCGTGGAGGGACGCCAGGAGCCTATAGTAGCGGTCCTGGGGAAAATGTAAGCAGCTGTGGCCGTGTAATTTAAAACCTCTGAGAAGTGTGCTGCAGCCCGTGCACAGCGTCGGTGGAACATGGGGACTGCCTGCAGCCCGCTCTCCGGAGGACGTCCTCGCGTGCTGCGGGACAGGGAGGACTGAGAAGACAAACCTGGGTGCAGCCAGAAAGGTCCAGATAGATGAGCTTGTGGCATCCGTTCCCTAAACTCAGGTACCGTAAACCTTTGTCTGTGAATTTCCTGCAGTAAGCCAAGCTCAGGTTCTGTAGGTTGTGGAAGTGCCTGAAAAGACAGGGTGAGAGGAGAGGGGAAGGAAAGTTGACTATAGTCGTTTTCTCACATTTTTCCCCCCCCCTAAGCCACTGTGACAAAGAGAAGTAAAACTGTACGTGAGTCTTTTCTCCTGGCAAACGTTCAACAGTTGAACCTTACGGTTCGTGCCCTTCCTGTGAAAGGAGATTGCAGGAGCTAGATAAATGCCTGATTACGTTTCAGATGAAAAGGAAGAGGTGCCTAGGTTTTGAAGAAAGCTGAGATTAAAAGCCTCGAGCTATGGGGGCGGGGAGGCTTGTGCGTTCGCATTGTTTGGAAGTGGGCTTGTGTTTGAAAGCCAAGTTACTGAGTTTGCATTATTGTTGCATTGAGGTTTTATCTTTGAGGCTCCAAAGTAATGAGCAAAAATGTCTAGAAATACAAACCCTTTGTAAACATTTCAATGGCGATGAACTGTTACATGAGAGTGAGGATTTGGACAGAAAGGAGGCAAAGTTGAACACAACAGGCTCTGAAAATGGACATGATCAGCAAATGCTTTGAGAAATTAGATTTGAATATGCATGATTTTGTAACACTTTCATAACTACAATCTTAAAAAGGCTGATTGATATACAGAGCTTAAAGATGGATTAAGAAGAGTCTACACATGAGTGGGCAGCCTATGAAAGGAATGAAAACTACATCAGAGACTGTCAATCTCACTGGAGTTGAAACCGATTCAATATGGCATTACCACAGTGACCAAAATGAGAGCTTCCAGGGGGAGAAAAAAAAAAAAAAAGGAGGAGGAGGAGGTAATTAGGATGAGCTATGCAAAGGCTCACAGTTTGAGGGCTCTCTGTGGACAGCTTTCCAGATCCTCTTTCTCCTGGCATTTTTTTTTTTTTTTTTTTTTTTTAAGTACAAGAACTCCCACTACTGCCTGCTCTTGTAATGAAATTAACAACATGCTCTTGATTTGTGGTCTGCAACAGTTTAACAGCAAATGGGAAAGCACAGAGAACCAAAGTAAAAGAAAATGCCTCTCTATCCAGCAAAAGCCCACAAATGAATAATAGAGTTTACCTTCACCTAAATGGGAAATAAGATCTGCGAGCCCTGGCCGTTAATCAGATTTATTCCGATAATTTGAAAAACACATGTATATGATACAATGATTTCCATTCCATGGAGAATCATTTGGTTCAGAACACAGATTCTTCTCTGGTAATTGCTGTGCCTGTGAGATTCAACAGAACAGACAGGGATGCCTTCTGGATCCCCAGTGGCTGGGTGGGCAGGGCTGTGAAGGAAAAAGCTGCATTGACATCCCAAAGACACAGCCCCTCTCCTGGGTCCCTTCAGCTACCTAAGAGCTAGGCCAAAGTTTTGGAAATGCTTTATTTTCCTCTCCCTGGAGTATGCCCTTGTGATTCAAATGAGTGAAGTACAATTTTTCTGGGGATGGGGGGATGGACATCATTTCTAACAACCCTTCAGCTCTCCAATTCAGAGAAAGGAGTAGTGAGGCAGACAGCAGGACACAATGGGAAGTACACAAGGTTTTGGAATCTGACCAAATTGGATTCAAATCTCAGCTTTGACACTTATTGCAACTTCCCTAACCACTCAGATTGTTTCTGCATTTGTTAAGTGGAGATTATATTAACTTCTTTTTTTTTAACCCTAGCTGGTGCCTCCAGCTTTCCTGATGCTCAGTTTTCTCATCTTCAACAGGGTTGTAATCCTACCTGCTTTTCCTCTTAGAGGTGTGACAATTACATGAGGACATAAGGGTAATAGTATTATATTGAGGGTGATTTTTGATGATTATAAGCAGCAGGAAGGCTGGCCGGCCTGGCTCAGTATTTGAGTGTCGAGCAATGAACCAGGAGTTCATGGTTTGATTCCTGTCAGAGCATATGCTCGGTTGTGAGTTCGATCTCCAGTGTGGGCGTGTAGGAGGCGGCCAATCAATGATTTTCTCTCAGCATTGATGTTTCTATCTCTCTCCCTCTCCCTTCCTCTCTGAAATCAATACAAATATTTTAAATATATATATTTATTTGGTTTCATATATACATATATACATATATGTATATATGTATATATACATATATGTATATATCTGGTTTCATATATACATATATGTATGTATATATATGTGTGTGTATATATGTGTGTGTGTATATATGTGCGTGTATACATATATATATAGTTATGAAACCAGTAGGGATATATGGTAGAGACTTTAAAAATATATATTGCTATTATTGCTACTATCTCAAATACACATTAATTGTTCCTGTGAGGCTTGTTCTATCTTCTTCCATTTAATGGAATACTCAGTTGACAAAAGTGATACATAAAACTGATTCACATTGCATCTACACCCTCATTTTGGTCATGGTGGTGATGCCATATTTAATCGTTTTCAACTCCAGTGAGATTGACAATCTCTGATTTCATTTTTATTCCTCTCACGCGCTGCCCACTCATTTGCAGATTATTCTTCTCATCCCATTTTTCAGCTATGTATATCAGTTAATTTTTTTTAAACTATAGTAGTAAAACTGTTTCTTACAAAATCATGAGTATTCAAACATATTTAAATCTGATCCAAGCCTATTGTTTAATTTCTTAATATCAATGTTATCAAAAACAAAAAAAAAATGGGAATTGAACAAGGAGTTCTTAACATTTTTGTGTGTCAGATAGCATTCAGATCTATGGATCCTTCGTCAGCATAATGTTACTGATGCATAAAATAAAATACTTAAGATTACAAAAGCAGCCAATCATATTGATAGTCATTATCAAAATATTTTTATATGATCTAAAAGAGGTCTGCCATGATTTTGAAGTAGTGGCACGTGCCAATGTTATTTTGAAATATTTGTAACATGAATAAAAATAATAAAATGCTTGTGGTGCATATGGTTGAAAGAGTCCCACATTTTACCTACATTTCCATTAGAGATTAGTGAAAATAGAGGGGAGTTTTCCCACATCAAAATTCATGGAACTTCTGAATTCTATCCCTGGCCCCCATGGGGGATCTACTGGCAAAAGAGGTTTTCATTAGAGGAAATGACTCCCAGATTGAAAGTCGCTAGCTGGCACTCTTCTACCTCATGGGGACCATTGGTTTGAAAGCAAAATTCAGGAATCCTGAGTGGCCTGTAGGCCTTTCTAGGGATTTATAGGGCCACATATTTGAAACTGCTAAGAAAAGTATCAGTTGACAATAAAACTGTACTTGGCAAATTTTATGCAGTACTGCTACTTTTTATTTTGAATCTTGGCAAAGAAACCCTTATATGAGGAAGATCTGGTTCATGATTTTCCCAACCCAGAAACAATTTTATTATCCTAATTATGCTTTGAGGCAGTGTTTGCAGTCAGTGTTTATCTTTTCCTAATTATTTGGTAACTAAAAGTTTCTAATGTAAGGGGAGGTTTCTGTTTATTATTTACTTTTCTACTGTTATGATAGTCTTTAGGAAACCACAATTCTTATAGAAACTACAGAGATAATTTTTTCCTCCATTCTTCTGGCTTTTTTACTTCAAAGAATTGAGACTTTCTGTGTTATATCTCCAATACTTGAGGCAGTTACTACTGGAAAGAATATAAAATCACTATGTATTTTACCAAAAAATTCTCTTAAAAAATCACCAAGACAAGGCCCAGTCTGTAAAATTCACACATGGATTCTTTTGAGTTGAGTGTGTGGGCTCTTTAGTTTCCCAGAGGCCATTTCGCATGATAGAATCCCTACAGAAAAACCAAATGCAGTGATTTGACCTCCTGTCTTGAGGATGTCCAGTCCAGGCCACAGCTTCCTCTCTCTGCTCCACTCTGATGGGCACTGGTGAGACTAGACAGCATGAGAATGTCTGTCAATAAGAAGTTTCCAAGCCAACCGAAGGATCGATTCATCTATATGAAAAATAATGAGCTACCACACCACTATCACATATAATGCTCCATAATATTTTAATGACCACTCTTTGCCTAGCATGCTCACACATAGTAGTTCACCAATATATGATGAGTACACGAATGAATGTTGCTATTAGAATTCAGTGGAAGGAGAAACTACGCAGACTTCTGGTAGATGGGGTGACTTGAGGCACAAAGGCTATGGGTTAGCATAGATCAGAAGAAAGGCGTTCCAGCTGTAGAGAAAGAAAAGCATGTAGCCACCAGATGACCAGAGTGAAGCACTTGCCTCGGGAAACCTGGGCAGATAAGTTTGATCAGATAATGTTAAAAGAACAGGGAAGAGACAAGACTTCAAGCAGATCAAAGACACGATCAGACTATGGTTCCAGGGGATACTTCTTGCAGCATAAGGCAAAGCCGACTGAAGAAGGGAAAAAGAGACCAGGGACTGACCCCTCAGGGTGCTGTGCCAGATGAGGTGCTGAGAGTGCCACCTAGGTTGTGGAAATGGGAATAAAAGAAAAGGGTTTCGTTCAGGAAACATTTAGAAGCAAAAAATGTCCCAGAATGGGCATGAGCTGTGGCTAGTCCTCATTTTCAACTTTAGAAAACTGAACAAGTCCCCAACCAAGAGAGGAAAAATACTCAATTAAAAACCTGGCAAATCAATGTTACCAAGAAGGGCAAACAGATTACATCTTTCTCTGGCAAAGGATTTCTTTGGGGGGAAATTGCTAAAGGCACTGAAGAGAGAATGACAGCAGCAACAAACAACATTTCTCTGGTTATTTAAAGAACACGTTCGCATACCCAAGCATGTTTGAAACAATGAAAAACAAAGCAAAAATAGAGAATCATTATGAAATATATTTTCATAATAGATAAGGAAGTTAGTGTATATTTTTTTCAGATGACAAAACACACACATACACACACACACACATCGGTATTGAGTAGCATTTATCCTAAATGTTCTCTAAATAGCAAAAACTGAAAGTTAAAATCACAA